TCACAAGATCAAATATATTTAAATGATAAAACTTTGTAGATACCTCGACATTCCACATCTAACTTTTAGGGTGATATCTATATGTCAACAACCAATTTCTCAAATGCAAACATATTGAAATCATGACTGAAAAAGGCTAAATAACAATACCTGCACTTACATGTAGGCTCCAAATTTTACAGCGCAATATTCGCCCTTAACCTCATACGTGTGTCCCTGCATTTTTATGCAGCAACATCCTGCTATGCACAGTAGTGCATACATCATAAAGACATGGAGAGATAGAGGGAAAATGTTAAGGGAAAAGCAAAAGGTTAACTGCACATGTATAATTCACTTTCACAGTAGTGTATGTCTCAAGAGTCGAAAATTGTTGTTTCTTATCCTGTCTCGATGAGGCAAAACATATTAGAAACTTCAAATTATAGCAAAAGACTTGAATTTCAGACTGATTACATATAACATATAAAAGTAAGAAGATTTCGAAGATCCAGGGATAACTCACTTCTTCTGACTCACCGCTGACTTTAGTGTTTATGGATTTAGGGGCTTTTTCTTCTTCCTCCTCATAGTCGAGAAGCTCCTCTTCGTATCATCGTTCTCTTTGGCGTCTTCCATTTAACCTGGAGAAAACAAATGACCAGCCAACAAAATTCAATCTTTACCTTGTTCTGAAGGTTGCTCATACAAAAAATCTAAAGCCTCGTGCTAGTATCCGTCGACAAAAAACCCTCTCCCCAACACCACAAATGCCCGAAGACCTCCGCGATCGGTACATTCTTCTACAAAATAGTTAGGCAAAATCAATCAGACCAAATCTCAAAACCAGAAAACACGAACCACAAGAAAAGCAAACTGAAAAAGCTACAAAAAAATCAATGAAAAAAATAACAACACACCAAATCAGCACTTCTCAAGCAATAAGCATATGAGGTCATTATAAAATTTGAACCTTTTTTTAGTGATCCATCAATCATCCACCTAATTGTATGTCACAATTAAAATCAAATCAAAATGGTTCAATTAATCGCTCTTCAGACATTAATTAGGACTACATGATTTATTTTTCCTTATATCTATGTATGTATTATCTCTGAGCCCCCACCATCACTCGGTGCATGAAAAGCTGACGAAACGGTTTTGGTGTTGAAGTGCACCGTGATGTTTGGATTGTTGAGTACTCTGAAACATTCGCCATCGGAGATGAAGTCCACGGTGAAGATGGTGATGGTGACAAAGAAGAAAAATACATTATTCACCCAATCAATACAATCAAGACTTGAGTAAGCAAAACCCATAAAAAAAATATAAAATCCATACCTTGATGATTCTACGGGGTAAATTATTGTTGGCCATCGGATCGACTTGCAGAGCTATCTTCATCCGTCTGAGAAAGAGGCCCTGGTCCACATTCTCGACCACTCCCACCAATCGATGGCGCCATTAAATTCTGATAAATTTCCGAATCGCCGGCGATCGAATCAGAGGGGAACGACCAGAGGGTGGAATTTGGATGTAAGGCAAGCCATTAACCGTTAAGACTCAGCTTGGATTCCACCACGATGGATTTGTTCGCAATGACCGTAGGCCACTCGGATCTAGCCCTACCGGTGGCGCGGCTGCAGCCTGTCGGGTCACCGACGAGGCTTGGCGGAGGGATTTTAAGTGGTTCATAGAGTTTTAGATGAAGACGAAGGTTGAGAGGGTAATTTCTTGTGTTTGGGTAGGGTTTGCCCCCACCATCACTCCATCGTCGTTCACTGCGTCCTCAACCCTGGCGCCGCCTGCGTCGCCGCCTCCGCACGCCAACAACGCAGTTCGATCTGGCTGCATCGTCTCTGCCCCTGTCGTCTTCAAAGCTCAGAAGAACAGAGCAAAGTTTTGGAAATTTTTGATCGTGCGAGGATGATAGAGAGAGAGAGAGAGATAGGAGATCTGAATTTTTAGTCAAAGATATGAAATAGATTTGGTAGATTTTGGGTAGATAACGTCTGACACACATTATTATCAGGAAAGCTTTTTACAAATGCAAATGACCAGTTTAGCCTCAAAAAGCAGCCAAAGAAAGATAAAGAAGGATCATTTCAGTAAAAGAATAAAAAAAGCGTATCCATAGTGTTGAAAAAGTTAGTGACATGGCAGCAGTGTAAAATAGTGACTTAATAAAGTCAGTGGCAGTAGTGTAAAATGGTGGCCAATGCAGGGTATTTTGGTCCAAAAATGACAAGTGTCAACACTACAATAGCCCAAAGTTCTTTGGTTATATGTAT